TGCCTTAGTCAATCCTACACGCACTATGACGAATAACTCTATACTTTAGACAGAAATGCTTACAGTGTCACATTTACTGCGGTATTTTAAAGACCCTTCCAAACATTTTGAGAGCTAAATTACAGCGTTCGAGTCCGGTGTGTTTAAAAACGAGACAACAATGCGCACGGATTTCTTGTGGCCTATTAGCACCTAATAGTCCAGGAAAGCTGGCAATTATGTACAGTACTCAACCTCAACTAGTATGCAGTTTTACTTGTGTGGAAAACAAAAGGAGATGCTGGGAAAGATGTTCATGCTGCTCTGGTTCCCGGGTCTTTCAAGTTCTAAAAAGGGACAAAACTATACCATAAAAGTCATGTGATAAGTTAATGTGGGAAAGCAATTAAATTATTCAGTGAAAATCTTCACCTCAGCCACAGCTGCCAAGTCTAATTAAAGCTTTTACATATTCATTTTTGGTGAGTTGTAGTGCCGAGTGGCATGGCCAAAAATCAGTATCACCGAATTATTTAAGATTCTACTGGTGTCTCACATTACTAGACTTTTATATAGGCTTATAGTTGCTTATTTTACAATCAAGAGTGCACAGAATATAAAAATTCCAATTGTCAGATATTATTTCACTACCTAAACACCTTAAAAACAATTTGCGCGATTATAAACGTAGTGGGTAACACTTTAAAATAATGGTCCATTAGTTAATGTAAGATAATGTATTTGATAACATGAACAAACAATTAGTAATACATTTATTACTGTATTTATTTATCTTTGTTAATGTTCATTGATTTTCTTTTCAGCTTAGTCCTGTTATTAGTCCAACCCAAGCTTATTCTGAAAATATAGCCCCGCAGACATTTCTGGAGGCCGCAATTTACGTGGCCGGAGGTACAAATGGCTGTATTTAGTTTTTTTCACGCGAACACTACGGGGCGGTGTGACGCCGATCCTCTTCGCGCTAGATCCCGCCGCAACTAGTTTGTCCAGTTAACTAGTTTGTCCAGTGTTATGTTGGCGGAGCCGAGGCCCGGAGGAGCCAGCCACGGCGATGACCGGGTTCGGGTCCGGTGAAGAGCGGATCCAGAAATCAGGTAAGACAAAAACAGAATCCAAAAATAAAAGCTAATGAGTTCATAACGGGGCGAGAATGTGGTGAAATCCGAAAACGCGGTTAAAATCGGACGAGGGCTTTTCTTTTTCTGGACGGCTTTTGTAAATCGTAGCTTGGGTTTAGGGAAGGAGAAGGAGAAGGGTGGCTGGGTTGGCCGGCCGCCCAGTCAATGGTTCAGTCATTCAGTCAGTCGGACAGACGGTCGCTCGACAGCGGCCTCAGGCGGCTTTTTACGCGAGAACAGCGCGGGCGCGAAAGTCGCACGCTCGCAAGAGGTGTTCGAGATGCAAAGAAGCTTCGCAAAAACAAAAACTGTACAAATACATACCTTTTAGGACTTATTTTACGATCTCCAGAAACGGGATGGGTCACCATAAGTTGAGTGGCGCGAGCAGCCAAAAACATTTTGTTTGTAGAAAAGGCCTTTTGTGCAATGCACTGAAATCGTTATTAGAGATGCGACGATTAGCCGATTTCACTATTAACTGGGCTTTAATTCATCACAGTTAATAAATCATAAAGGCTTCTCTAAGCCGCATTTCCAGTCTAATCTCGAGGAAACATAAGTATTTTAAGTTTTGCCAGTTTAGTGGCTAATTCGTACAAATACGCACAAGTTCAGTCATACGAAAATGTACAATTTTTAAAAGGAGGCATGGCACCCAACCCCACCCCTAAGCCAACCATCATTGGGTGATGAGCAAATCGTACTAAATTGTATTAATTAGATCATACGAATGCATACAAATTAGCCACTAAATCAAAAAGTTAAGAATTTCCGTGAGATTGCGTAGGCATTTCTTTTGCACGGAACGAAACAAAACTGCTGCAATTAAATGAAAAGTTATGCCAAGTTGCCAACTGTGCGCTAATTTAAAGTTCTAAAAATACACACCAAGGCTAATACGCAAACACACCGGATTAACTATAGCAGCAGGCGTTCCCATTTCACGTCTTTTACGCTTGCAAGTTTGCTATTTCTAATGTAGGAATATATTACAAAATGCGTGCACAAGCGGAGTTAATCTAAATAGCTACTTACCTCATATAAAGATTGAATTTACATGATAACCGAGAAATCGTACAACCAATTAAAAAAAATAACATAATTGTGTCTGAGTGTAGAAAAAGCCTACTTCAGCAACGCACTGATTTTGTTGTGCTTTAAAATACAACATTTGAATGTTTGTAAAAAAAAAAAAAAAAATCTATTGTACAATGCAGTGATATTATGTAGTTTCAAAATACAACATTTTCACATTTTAATGTAGAAAAGCCAATGTGGGTCTAATATGCAGTTGTGTTATTACTCATATAGCAACTCATATTTCTCCAGCCCTTCGTTCGGGATACTTTTCATGAACCGGCCCTCATAACATACTAATACAATAGCCCTGACCTATACACTCTCATTCACACACATACACTGAGGACAATTTATCTTACCCAATTCGGGGAAACCGAAGCACCCAGTGGAAACCCACGGGAACACGGGGACATGCAAAATCCACACAGAAATGCCAACTGACACAGCTGAGGCTTGAACCAGCGACCTTCTTGCTGTTAGGCGACATCGCTACCCACTGCGCCACCGCACCACCTGCTAGTTAATGTTAAGTTAAATAACATTAGTTCATGTTAGCTCACAGTGCATTAACTAATGTTAATAAGCATAACTTTGGATTTAAATAATGCATTAGTTATTTGCATTAGTTAATGCATTAGTCTTGAGCTGTGATTAATAAATGCTTTACAAGATTATTCATGCTTAGTTACTGTTAATATGACATGAACTAATGGACAACATAGGCTCATTCTGAAAACTTAGCCCTATATACAGTGCATCCAAAAAGTATTCATAGCGCTTCACCTTTTCTACATTTTTTTTTTTTGCTACAGCCTTATTTCAAAATGGATTAAATTCATGTATTTCCTCAAAATTCTACACACAATACCCCATATTGACAATGTGAAAAAAGAGTTTTTGAAATTGTTGCAAGTTTATTAAAAATAAAAAACCCGAAAAATTGCATGTACATTAGTATTCACAGCCTTTGGAGTTCACCTGTGCTAAATTCAGTGGATTGGACATGATCTGAAAAGGCATACACCTGTCTATATAAGGTCCCAGGGTTGGCAGTGCATGTCAAAGCACAAACCAAGCATGAAGACAAAGAAACTGACTGTAGACCTCAGAGACAGGATTGTCTCAAGGCACAAGGCTGGGGAAGGTTACAGAAAAATTTCTGTTGCTCTGAAAGTTCCAATGAGCACAGTGGCCTCCATCATCCATAGGTGGAAGATGTTTGGAAATACCAGGACTTTTCCTAGAGCTGGCCGGCCATCTAAGCTGAGTGATCAGGGGAGAAGGGCTTTAATCAGGGAGGTGATCAAAAACCAGATGGTCACTCTGTCTGAGCTCCAGCGTTCTTCTGTGGAGAGAGGAGAACCTTACAGAAGGACAACCATCTGTGCAGCAATCCACCAATCAGACCTGTATGGTAGAGTGGCCCAGACAGAGCCCTGAGCTAAACCCTACTGAACATTTCTGGAGAGATGAGAAAATGGCTGTACACTGTCACTTCCCATCCAACCTGATAGAGCTCGAGAGGTACTGCAAAGTGGAATGGGCAAAAACTCCCAAAGACAGGTGTGCCAAGCTTGTGACATCATATTCAAAAAGACTTGAGGCTGTAATCTCCTGCTAATGGTTCATCAAGAAAGTATTGAGCAATGGCTATGAATACTTGCATAAACTTGCAACAATTTCAAAAACTCCTTTTTTACATTGTCATTATGGGGTATTGTGTGTAGAATTTTGAGGAAATAAATGACGCTATGAATACTTTCCAGACTCTGCCAGTAAAAAAGCAATCAGACATAAATGGCTACAAAAAGAGCGACCAACCTTAAATAATTGGATAGATGTGACTATCGGGATTCATACAATGAATTGCTACAAAAAATTGCTTCTGTAGTCAATTTAAAGAAGTATATATTCCTGGAAAAATTAAGGAAATAGGATGGCTATATTTCCGATAGGAGCCCTGATTTTGTTGTTGTAAACTAATAGAAGGTGCTCAACTGATCAGATACATGCTACATGCGTGCATATGTATATGGTTATATATATATATATATATATATATATATATATATATATATATATATATATATATATATATATATATATATATATATA